AAGGAGAGAAACCCGCACAGGATGCACCCCTGAGTAGGGCCACCTCTACCGGCCATTTCCACAGGCCTTGCTCAACCCCGCGAAACCCTTTGAGGAACCTTAGGAAAAGCATCTCAGGGCTCTTCACCTGGAGAGTGAAGGGGGAAAACATTTACCCATTGTCCCCTCACCCCAATTAGTCAACAGAGACCCTCCATGGACTCCCCTGAATTTCCAGGTAGCTTCTGTGTTAGTGCCACAGGGCTGGCCATGGGTGACCCCCAGGACAGGAAGGCAGGCAGGCACAGGGCGAGGGCCAGTAGGGAGGCCTCACCAGTCTGCATCTGTGTGAAGTGGCTCCTGCCTGCTCAGAACTGGACTCAGAGAATTTTAAATGGGGCGCAACAGGTGCCCAGTACGAGCCGCCCACCTGAGCACATCCAGGTGAGGCCGATGCGAAATTTCACTGCAAATGGACCGAAGTGTCAGAAGCCCTTTCCTGAGGAACTGCCCACAGAGCCAGCTGAGGAGCCCAGCAACAAAGCCCATCTCTGGCAGTGTGTGGCTTTAAGTCAAAACAGTGTGCCCAGCTTAATTAACCTCATCATTAACCGCAATTTAGCTCTTCTCCATAAAAGATGATTTGCAAGGATGGAGAACAAGCTCATTTCAAAAGTACAGAAATGTAATATGAAGGAGTACGGCCGGCCTCAATCTCATTACATATGCTTAGTCGCACTTTCTATGAGTAAACGTGTCTGCATCTCTGTATGTAGCTGTGTGTTGTGTCTTTGTCTGTACTGTAACACATATCTGCGAGTTTGTGTGTGTCTCTGTGCTGTGTGTGACCATCTAGTAGGTGCCAAGCACTGTACCAGAAAACTCCATCCTAATAGCACTCACACAGAGAACAGCACGTCTTGCCAGGGAGTGAGGATGGCCATAGTTAAGAACCTTCAGTGCCTGGCCCTGGCTGGTGTAGCTCAGTGGATTGAGCTGGGGCTGTGAACCAAAGGGTCTCCGGTTCAATTCCCAGTTGGGACACATGCCTGGGTTGCAGGCCAGGTCTCCAGTAGGGGGCGCGTGAGAAGCAACCATACATTGATGCTTCTCTCCCTACCTTCCACCCTCCCTTTCACTCTGTCTAAAATAAATAAATAAATAAAATATTTAAAAAACGAAATAAAACTTGTACTGTACGAAATAAAACTTGTACTGTTGTAAGCCACTACATCTGTGCTCATTTGTCATAGCAACAAAAGGAAACAAATTGACCTGTGAAAACTGGATTCATGTCTTTAAAACGCTCCCCTTTGCTTCCCTTTCAGCATTCACTTGGAGGTGCCATGGGCTGCATGTTACACAGGGGTCGGGGTAAAAAGTCTCAACGTGTAAATGAGAACATGTAGAATCAAACTTAGCCTCGAATGTACGATGTGGAGCGCAGGGACCAGGATCCACGAAAATGAGCAGATCGACACTCCCCGAGGTGTCCTCGTCCTGAGACACTACTGACTGAGGCGAGGGCCAGCTCCACAAACCACACCCTTTAAATCCTTTCTTTCTTACCCACGTAATTAACTTTGCATCGATTCAGACCATACACTGCAATTCCATTGTAATTTCAGGTTTTGCTTTTGTTCCCTGAGTTTGCTAAGGAAAGCATGGAAAAACAAAACCTTGTATTTGTATGGAGGCTTGTTCTCTATTATTATGCAAAACAGCAAGCACACGGAGAGCCTGCAACCCCGTCTGAGTCACAACACCCATCCTGGACAAATTCTAACATCATTCTACAGCTGATTCAGAATTTTAAAAATAAATGAAAAGAAATGTTACATGTGTGGCTGAACCTCAGTGTCCTCCTCACCTTTGCCATACCACCCCCACCGCCCCTTCTCCCCACCCCAGGGAGCCTCTCTCGTCACTGGTGTTGACATTTAGAGCGTCCTGGGCAAGCTTTTATGTCTCTCTTACCCAGATCTGTGCATAACCATAAACGGTAAAACATCAGTTTACACGTCTAGAAAGATTCCCCAAATGGTACCTACAGCCCTTTGCAAATTGCCCCCTTTTCCTCCAGCTCAGCATGTCTCTGAGGTTTATCCTCATCGCTACCTGTTGCTCTGGTTCATTTTTTTAAACTGCTGAATAATATTCGATTTTGTGAAAACACAGTTTGTTGACCTGCTCTTCTGTTCGCAGCTATTTAGTTTCCAACTTCTCTTTAGTACAAAGATCAGTGAACATTCCATACATTTCCTTGTGCCCCTGTGCTAGAGTTCCTCCAAGGTGTATACTTAGAAGGGAAATTGCTAGGTCGAAGGATGTGTTTAGCTTCAGTGTCACCGGTCGTTGCCAAATTGCCTTACTCCGTAGTCAGGCCAGCTTCCCCCTGGCTCTGTATGCAAGGTCCCTCTAATCTGCATCCTGGCCAGCACACACTGGCTTCTGCCCATCTGATCGCTCACGGCCTTTATCCTTCTTAAACTGCACAGCTGATTCTCACAGCAACGCAGGACACAGGCGGCACAGGTCTGATGTATGACCACCAGGCCGCAGGCGGTGGGAGGCCCAAGGGAGCAGTGATGAGCCCAGCAAAGCTAGCTGCGGCCAATCAGACCCAAACAAACCCAGGAGCCTAAGGTCCCGGGCACATCACCATGGGAACCGGACACAGGGCCAGGATGCTCTATGCAGCCACCTTTAGAGAAAAATAGACATTCGCGTAATTTTTACTATCTGGTAAACAACAACTATCCACACTAATGGAGAGCACAAAATGACCGTTTTCTGGAGTTTTATATCTCACAAGACAATCTTCTAGGCGTTCCTCACTTGCCCCAGACAACCTCTGAGAAAAGACTTGGATTATATCCCCCCCCTTACAGATAAACTGGAGGCTCGTGGCTCGTCAGCAGAAGATTGGCTTTCAACCTATTTGCCTTCCGAGTATGTCTTTGCCGTTCACTTGGAGACGGTTGTCTGAGAGCTGGAAATTCTCCACGTGTGTCATCGCTTCTGTTCCCCGTAAGTGAGGTCACACCGCAAACACGGAGCATTTCCCAGGGGTGGGGCCCAGCCCTCCTGTTTGTGCGCCTGGAGTCCGACCCTGAGAACATCCCGGCTCTGCCGCCCAACAGGACAGTGACCTTGGGCGAGTTACTTCCTTCCTGTGCCTCAGTCTCCTCTGTAACATGAGGGTGATGGCACTTTCTGGCAAGGTCATATGGACCGGCTGCAGTAGCACATCTAAAGTGTCAGGCACGCAGAAGACGCGCCAACCTTAGCTCTCACGGACTGAGACTGTGACCCCTGGATACCCCAGGAGGGAGAGGCCGTCCTGGCGAGGGTGAAACACCAAGGACAGGCCTCGGCACAGCACGAGCTGTGGTTCTGGGGCAGCCCATCTGCAGGCGCTTGGAGGCCCCACCTCTGGAGGTGCAGGCCCACCACACCCAAGCACAGACCCAGGGGAACTATACAGCCAGGGCAGGTGGCAGGAGCTTCTTCTACCAGCTCTCTTGAGGGATCCTTGTAAGTCTACAGTTTTGTGTTTCTCATGGCTTGAAAAGTGCCAAAGATTACAGCCAGAGGATGTACTGTGGCTGTCACAGAGGACAACGAGCCAACCAGGCCCTGCCTTCAAGGCAGGGCTCAGTGGGCCCACACCAAGCGTGTTGGGTGGAGAGAACCTGAGATGAGTAAGGACCAGAGTCATATTAATGACCTACTCTCACTTTCCATCCACCCCAGGAGGCCTCGTTCATGATCTGGAAAGCAACCCAAGGTCACTGCTGTCTGAAGCCTCATCCTGTGAAGTAGGAGAGGAGGGTTCAGCTCCCAGTTCTGCCTCTTTGTAGCTGGGTGACCTTTCACCTTGGGAAGCCTCAGCTTGCACAACTTTTCAGTGGCGCTCCAAAGGCCTGTCCCACCTACCTCGTGGGGCTGTAGTAGGAAATGAGACAACACGCATGAAGTGCCTGTGAGCTGCCACGTGCCAAGTTAACGGCAGTTATTGCCTGTTACAGCGAGCCATCCTTGCTCTTCCGAGTCAGGTGTTCAGCGGCGCAGGCGGGGACCAGGCCGAGCCGTCCACACCTTCTCTCCTGGGCCAGGCACTCCCTGGACCAGTGGTTCACTCCAAGAACACGGCAGAACCTGAAACTCTGTCCAGCCCTTCCAGGAAGTAAGTCTGCAACCCTGGCCTCACAGGCTCGCTGTCCCAGTCAGGTGAGACATCCAGCCACGGGGATAACCGCACGGTAAGCTGGCGACAGGTGGAGCACCGTGGGCCTCTGGAGGCAGGACACAAACACCAGCTCTGCCCCTGGCTGGCTGGGCAACCCTGGATAAGTCACTAACCCTCTCAGTTCAGTCGTTTGTGAAGGCGGGGCAAAAACCAGGCATCATGCTGTCAGAAGTGAATGAGGTGACATGTGCTCGTCATACAGTGACGAGGTGACATTATTTGTCAGCAAACGGTGGCTTCAAGTTTATCCCCCAGGGCCTCGAATTTGCCATCTCTGACTTGGGGGCAGTTGCTGTTCCCGGGCACGGCTGTTGTGAAGAGGAACTGAGACCTTGTATGGAGCGAGCACAGGATTTAGCTCACGACTGGACATTCCAGGAATGCAGGGCCTGGGTTTGTCTGATTCCCCACTAACCACTCGGCACCCAATAGGGGGCCTGGCCCCCCCAGGGTGGCACTCAGTTAACAGATTTGGAATGAATAAAGGAAGTAAGTGCAGTAGCTTTTTAATGGCTCCAAGCCTCAGCTTCCTCATCTGTAAAATGGGTGCACAAACACTAACCTGGAAGGGCTGCTGTGAGAACCAAGGGCCGACAGCGATGTTCCAGCATCGCGTACACTGCACACCAGGGGGCCCACCGAGCGTGCCTTGCGCCCCACTTTCCAGGCAGACACCACAGGAGGCAGCTGGGTAAGTAAGAGTAATGTTTACTGAGCGATACAGGACTGAGTACGATGAAGGGTTTACCAGGATGGAAATGCCCCCCGCCCCCGCCCCGGCCCCCCCACGCCCAGAGACTACAGTACTTAAGAGTCACCAACGACGGCTGTAACTGCTGAGTATCTGTTCGTGACCAACAAACCATAGCATATTTGTACTGTATCACGTCGAGTGATTATAGAAATCCATATATATATTGCTTGTATAAAATCTTTTTTCGTAAAAAATATTTAAAAAAAAAGAAAGTATAAAAAAACATGTGCAGTTGAAAGCCCTGCCAGGACAGCCAGTCTGTAAACATTCAGTGGGTATGTGCTTTGGAAGGGCGCCCGCGCCTCGTGCCCATGGCGACTCCAGCAGGGCCGGCGAGGGTGCGCCCCGGCTGCCGCTCCGGGCAGGACCGCGCTGGACCATGGTGAGCGGGTACAGCAGGGTCTGGCACTGTGCCCCTCTCCAGCTTTGCATCGGGGTCAGGGTTAGGGTCAGGGTCAGGGTTGGGGGCAGGCAGATTGCAGTTTCACTCTGAGTTCTATCCTCAGTCAAATCCTGGTTGCAACTCATGGCTTTTCCTGGCTGCTCGGAGGTCCCTTGGGTGGGTGCCCAGGAGGACAGGCCGGAGAAGCACCTGCAGCTGCCTGGTTGGGCGTCTCTCTGGCCCAGAGCCTCTGTCCTGCCTCCTTCCAGCCTGGCCCCAGGCAGGACAATCCCACCCTTGGGGCCACTTTGGTCTCAGCGCTTGGTCCTGGGTTTCATCAGCCTGTTCTTCCCCTGGTGTGGCTGATGCGAGTTTCACAAAAAAAGCGCGGCCAGTCCTGGCTGTGCTGAGCCTCATCCAAAAGTTTTTCATGCAGCAAGGAAGGGCCATCTGGGACCCTCCTCCTCCTCCTCCTCCCTCTCCCTGTCTCCTCCTCCTCCTCTTCTTCCTCCTCCCAGCCCATGGTCACTTCTTCTCCAGCTGCTCCAGCAGCGGGTTGCCTTCTGAGTCGGGGGTCTTAACGCTGTCGGTCCGGACGATGCAGGTGGGGCGGTGTCGGTTTAGCATCAGGATGAGCTGCTGCCGCTCCTGCTTCAGCTCCTCGATCTGGGTTTTCAGCTCCGCGTTCATGAGTTCCAGCCGCTCAGATTCCTGTGCGCAAACACAGAGACACGGCTTTAAGCTTCCGCTGGGGACCGGCTCTGCCTTCAGGCTGGCACAAGGCTGGCACCTCCCTGTTCGCTGACTGCCAGGTCCCCACTGGAGGAAGCACAGAACCTGCTCTTGAGCCCCTGGGGATAACTGACTTTCTACAAGCAGTGTTCATCACACCTGTGACACTGCCCTGTGTCACCAGTGACACGATCCCAGCTTATACCTGGGGCCAGCCTGGCTAATGTCCTACCTCTCTTCCCTCACTCGATCCCCTCCGAACACTGTGGCATCATTGCCGTTGCTCAAGAATGCCAGGCACTCTCCTGCAACGGGGTCTTTGCACGAAAAACAAAAAGTGGGAGAAGACTGGAGGCCCAGGGGATCTAGGACAGGTTTGCGAAGGGTCAACCAAGGGGTTAGAGGTGGCCCTTGGGTGGCAGCGAAAGGACAAAGGGCTCTGATGAGTGACAAACACATGTTGCAGAAATTTTGGCTTGTGGGGCAAACGAGCCCACTGTGGTCATGGAGCTCCTTCTAAAACCTGTGCTTCCTGGTTATCAGCCTACAATTGTGTGAATCGCCTCTATCTAGAAGCTTTGCCCACTGGGAGGAAATAACAATCACCCTTCTGGATCCAAAGTGGGGACTCAAATAGACCTCAGGAGAGATCTCCAGTGAACTTGCAGCTCAGCCGGAGGGGCGCTGGGGAAAGGAGAGAATGCAGGCTTGACTTTGGGGGGCTGCATGTCTACAGCGTGGACAGTGATGGGCATACCCATTAAAAGCTTGGGGGCCGAAATAATAAAACAGAAAAGCTCCTGAATGATTTTTCTTGGACTGTGTCTAAAAACTTATAACCAGTTGGCTTTTTAATTGTTATGTTTTATTAATTTGAGAGAGAGGGGGGAAAGGAGAGAGGCAGTGAGAAAAACATCCATGTGAGAGAAAAACATTGGTTGCCTCCCACATGCACCCTGAATGGGGATTGAACCCACGACCTACCTATGTGCCCCGACCAGGGATCGAAGCTGAAACCTTGTGGTGCATGGGACGATGCTCCAACCAAATGAGCCACCAGGCAAGGACAAAACTTATACCAGTTTGAGAGCTGGAATTCATCCAGTGACCAGCAAAGTTTTAGACCAGCGGTTCTCTACCAGAAACAGTGTTGCCTCCCAGAAGACACTGGACAATATTTTTAGTTGTCACAGCTGGTGAGGGGGCTGCTACTGGCATCTCGAGGCTGGAAACCAAGGATGCCCCTCAGCACTCGGCAATGCACAGGGTGGCCCCACAGAAAGAATTAGCTTCTCCCGAATGCTCACAGTGCTGAGGCTGAGCAACCTGAGGCATTAGACCGAGAACAAGCTGCAGTCCCAAGGGTGTATGTGACAGCAGGCCGAGGGGCCCCTCCACCTGGGGGGCCCCGCACCCCCTGGGCGGCTGTCTTCCCCACGCCAGCCGGTCTGACTAAATTGTTCCTTGTGCTAGTCTCTGAGGGGGAGGGTCAGTGCCTGGGGACCTCAGAACTGCTGAGACATGCAGTCCTGGTGACTGCACGCTGAGGGAGAACAGCCCCAAAGGGAAGGGAAAAATACTCAGAGGGGAAATGTTAAAAACCGGCTATGGTGGTTTTAGTTCAACAGGATGAGGCACAGCGGGGAGGGAGGCTGGCCTGGCCCACCGTTCTTGGAATTCCGAGAGAAGTCCACCTCTGGGGGCCGAAAGAGGCCCTGCGTGGAACCAGGAGCCTGTGACCCATCAGTCTCGGACAGTTAGGTGCCAGCCTTAGCCACTGGCTCACTGAGTCCGAGGAGCTGGTGACCTTGGGAAGTTCTCACAAAAACCTCGGACCTCCTGGCTCTTCCCAGCCCAGGCTCCAACACTGAATCCTGAGCCTTGGTCTCAGCCACCTGTGAGCATCTGCTGAGTGCCTGCTGTGAGCAGTGAGTGCTCTGGGGACATCCAGAGACCCATGAGCCCCCAACGTGGCTCCCATGTGGCGCCCACTCAGAGGGGGAGAACCCCTACAGCAGTGCAGAGCTTGCTCCGTGCCCATCCGCTGGGCAATGTCTGGAAGGCCTTCAGGGGGGCTCGGCGGCCAGGTCTGACCTTGGGTTGAGTAGAGAAGGTTGGTGGGGGTGGGGTGGGGGGAGATTTCACAAAGGGAGCCCTGAGTGAGCAAGGACACAGATGTGGAAAAGCTTCAGTTGTGTTTGGGAGGTAAAAATCCTCCACTGTGACCACGGGTCAGTCTAGGGCATAGTGGGGCAGAATGCGGGGAAGGTGTGTGCAGAGCCAGACCCATAAGAGTTTCGGGGCTGGAAGGAGGCGTCCAGAGCAAATTCCCGAACTTCTCTGAGCAGCCTTGGTTATCTCACTCGTAAAAAGACGATGATCGTGACCTTCCCTGTAAACAAAGGCTTAGGGAGGCTGAAGGAATTCTCATTTAAGCTGCGAGCAAGAGAATAGGGAGCAGGGGAGAAGAGGAGGACTTTTCACGGAAAGCTTGGCAGGTCTTGATGACCACCCGGATTTGGAGAATGAGCGCCAGGGACAGAGCCCGCCGTGAGCCTGGGGGAGGGGAGCTGTTCTCACGAGTGCAGGAGAAGGACAAAGGAGGGGCGGGGCTGCGGCGCGGTGGGTGGAAGCTGAAAATGGACCTGCGAGGGGCAGCTCCAGCACTTGGGCACAGGCCCACCTCCCTGGACTGACTGCAGGTCCCCCCAGCCTTACACGTGAGCCTCTGTGTCACGCGAAACACCAAGCAGGTGTGCGGCACCTTGCTCCACACAGGCGCCGACCACAGGAGCGCCAGTGCACGCTGTTGGCCTCACAGGGTGAGGGGGGCCCTGGAATGCCTTCGGGCTGCTCAGGGTGTCACTAACCTTCTTCGTTTTACTTCCTTCTGTTTTACTGGCTGGTGCTAGCGAGGTGAGTTCAGAAGAATCTCTTTTGAGCCATGATTGTGGAAGTGGTGTGTGGCTTTATAACAGCATTTACCCGATACCTGTTTTCCTAATTAATTAGGATCGTGAGCTAGGATCTTCACATGTTCATTATGAAGTGAATAATGGCTTGCATTTTTTATCATTTTGCCTCTGGTAGATCTTTATTGCCCTAGAGAAAATGAAACCACTTGCTGTCTTAGAACAGAATTAGAATGTGGAGTTTCACCCTCCTTCTCCACTGTGGTCAGCAAAGACAACAGACAGAATACAGGCCAAGGGGCTGGGCATCCCGGCTGTGTGGCCTCGGCCAAGTCCCTCCCCTTCTCTGGGCCTCAGTTTCCTCCCCAAAAACATAATGACTGGTCCAGGGGATTTGAAGCATTAAGATTCTCTGACTCTACTTTTTATTAAAGTTACCCCAAGGGTTGGGAAGAAGCCTAGGACAACTTTCTGAACCTGCAAGACCTTGCGAGCTACTTCACCATGAGCAGCATTCCCTGTTCCCCTGAGCCGGGGCAGCCTGAAGGGGACACCAGGCAGGAGAGGAAACCCCGGGTCCCGGTCCTGACGCGGCCACCCCGTGACCTGGAGCCCAGGCCCCCGACCCTCGGAGTCCTCAGTGGAATGGGGCTGCCCTGCATCCTCCCAGGCCACCGTGACCACCAGGGAGAGAGTGGCTGTGAAGAGCACAGGGTGCCATGGAGCGAGAGGGGTCACTGCTGCCAGCCACGGGGGAGCTGTGTTGGCACAGCAGTCGCGGGGCTGGCACTGCTGCTCCTGACCGCGGACAGGCACCGAGCTCGTCCCGGCGTGCAGGTGAAGATCTGACCCACCTGAAGGCCTGCCACCTGCCGCCTTCGGGGCCTGGGCTGGTACAGGGGACAGAGCCCTGGGAGGACACAGGACTCTCCCAGGGTGGATGTGGGTGTCCAGGGGTCGAGGATGGAAAAGTGATTTTTACATACATGTGTGTATGCAAGTGTGTATACATGTACACACAAAACACACACCTGTGCACACACATCCCTTTGCACCTCTGGCCTTGAAAATACCTTACCTGCTAAGAGCGAATCTCAAGAGAACTCCCTGGGTCTGTGGACACTGTCAACACAGCCCTCTGTGTTCCTGCCTGAACCTCACCCCCAGTCACTGCTCCCAGGACGATGTAAGGGCGGGAGGTGGGGGGCGTGGGGTGAAAGGGAAGGACAGGGCTGAGGCCCACTCGGACCTGTGCAGGCCTCCCTCCGAGACCCAGAGGCTGTACTTCCCGTGCTCGCAGCTGCCCTCTGCCCTCACCGGGGCAATACCATAGCCACACAAGGTATGGCCCGATTATTCTCGGCTGCCCCAATCCGGGCCCTGCGCTACAGCGAAGGGATCTTGCTAAGGTGTGTCTCTCTCTCCTTCCGAAACCCTCCTATGGCTCCGAGTGACCAGCATTCACCATCTGAACCCGGACAGTTGTGAGAGTGGAGGAAGGTGGCGTCAGTACCAGGCCAGGGCCGCAGGCACACCCTGGGACCGCCCCCTACAACCTGACACGGCGCAGCTCCGGGCAGGCCTGCCTCCTCTTCCCCAGCCTGTGCCCCCAACTCCAGCCTCTCTTTCCAATTCCTTGACAAGGTTCTTAAACGCCTCTTGCCTTTGCTTGTGCTCCTCCTGGTCACACCCTCCCTCCCTGTCTTTCATCTCAGCTGACTCCTACTCCTCTCCTACGTCTCAACAGGCAGTCCTTCCTCAGCCTAGACCCGGACAGGGCCCTCTGTGTGTTCTCCCAGCTCGCAGGGCTTGCCCAACCCCAGGCTCAGCACACGTCTATTCCTCGTTTCCGGCCTGCTGACCCCCGCAGACATCGCTTGCTTGTCCTCTGTGCAGCGGGCACCCCCTCAACACATACTGGGTGGCCAGCTGGATCGGCAAACAAATAAACGAATCCCGGCCCTACCACCTGCCAGCAGTGTGACCTCAGCCAAATAACTTGACCTCTCTGAGCTACAGGTCCATGCCTAAAATGGGGATAATCAATATTTATTTCCCTGGAATGTTATAAGACTAAATAAGACACATGTGATGCCTGGCGCACAGTAGGTGCTCAGCAAGTACCGCTGGAATGTGAAGAGCAGGTAGCAACGCTCATTTGGCACTGACTGTTTACTGCATGGGTGTGTTACTTGTTTACATTCACTTGGCGAGCCCCGCCTGCTCACTGGCTGACCAGCCCTTGAAGGCAGGAATCGGATGCGAGACTTCTCTGCTCTGTGCTGTGCCTGTCCAGCTCTGCAGACACCCAGGGCTGGAAATGAGCATGCGATACTCCATCCCTCTTAAAGGCCCAAGTAAGACCAGTGTCTTAGGAACCGCTTGGAAACATCCAGCCCAATGTTGGTCCACCATCTCTTCCAAGGGGGGCTCCGAGATCTAGGAGCCTAACCTGGCCTGGGTGCTCACAGCCCAGATGTACCCACAGGCCCCATGCTGATTACACCACGACCTCGGGTTTGCTCTCTGCTTGTTGCAAACCTGACGAGAGACCCATAGATTCCCCAGGATCAGAGAAAAGCAAGACCAACCCGGCTCTGTCTCTCCAGCTCCCGTAGGAGGACCCACGTCCACTCCTACACACAGGCCCCTTAGTGTAGCTAGCACAGGGCTGGGCACCTAGGACATGCTTAAGAATACTTGGCAACAACTCAATGAATGAGTAAAAAAATAAACAAACAAACGAATGAATGAATGACTTAGAGCCAGAACAGACGAGTGTTAAGAATACATGCCTTGCGTTACCCCCAGGCGGGAATCTCAGTTCTACCACTGAGTTGCCCAGGGACCAGGGCAAGTTATTTAACCTTGCCATGCCTTAGTTCCCTGCACTGTAGAAGGAGGGTCACAAAGGCATGTACCTAGTTTAGTTCTTAGACCAATGAGACCCAAACACACAGCAATTAGCACAGTGCCCAACTTTACAAATGTTACCAACTATCGTTAATCGTTGCATACTGCAGGACAGAGCCTGACTCGTGATGTTATTATGATACATTGTTACCGTTACTATTTAGAAATGAAGATTGGGGGTGGGGAGGCTGGAGACCATGTTTGAGAATCAGGGAAGGCCTAAGAGAGGGGACTCGGCAGAGAAACTACAGACACCGGCTTGGTACATTCCCCATGAAAGGGCGGGGACCTGCTCGGAGGGCCGCGAGGCAAGGCAACCCTCCGCTGGCCTTTGCACCAGAGCTGACCTCTGGTCCCTGGGGGGCAGGAGCAAAGAGGCCAGCCAGCTGGGAGGCAGAGCTGGAAGAGCCTCCTGCAGCGAAGGGCAGAGCTGCTCTCTGCCCGGGTGCTTCGTCCACTGCCCACATGCATGGCGGTATCACCTCCTTCATCAGCACCCGCCCTAGACAACTTTGGCGGCCAACGGGGTACCAGAATGGGTAGCATCAGTCCTGGGATCTCTGGGTCAATCAGCACCGAGGGTCTAACTTCAGTGGAGGGAGGTCGGCTCCTCCCACAGATCTCCAGGAACTGGGATGGGCCGGGGCTATGTTGGCTCCGGGTGGGGCATTAGAAGGAGTCAGGGAAGAGCAGAGGGGCCGAGGCTGCTGGGGCAGATGCCCAGGTACACACTGACCCCACAGCTTTGACGAGGTCTTTTAGCGTAAGCCCACTCCCGCCCTGGCCAGCTGCCCCGCTGCCCTGCTCACCCGCTGCAGAAACTCCGTCCGCTCCTTCTTCTTGTTCCTGCAACGAGCTGCCGCAACCTTGTTCTTTTCCCGGCGCCTTTTCCTCCGCTCCTCTTCCTCATCTAGCTGTGAGGGCAGAGAGCCACTGATTAGACGCTGAGGCAGGCCTGCAATACAGCTTCTCTCCTGACACACAGACAGACAGATGGACCAGGGCCCTGCTGACCCACGTCTCGGTAAGTGAGCAAGCTGTCTCTGTGCCGGCTCACTGGCCTCTCAGCTGGTGAAATGGAGACGCCTCCCATCCAGCCTGAGGATCCTCTCGGAGCAGGTGGGCACCCCTGGGTGGGGTCGTCAGGGCCCCAGGAGGGCACAGCTGCCCGGGTTCCGCCAGAGTTCGGGAGGCCAAACCTGGGCGTCTACTCACACAGAGGTGTGACCCAACAGTGACAGGCTGTTCTCCTGCCCAGCCCAAGCCCTCTGGTCACTATTTTCCAGGCCAGCGGTTCTCAGGCACATCCTTTAAAACTGCCTTGGGCATGGGCGCAGCTTCTGCATCCCGCCCCACCCACTTTTCCTCCCCGAGGTATTTTCTCCCTCCCTCTTTGTCCTTCCACTTGCTTGAATCTACCCTCCTGTCAGCCAAACAGTCTCCCGGCCTCCTCAGCACCTTTAATCCTCTTCCCGGCAGGTCCTTCCCCCGGGAGGCCCACCTGTATCCTGGGATCCCAGGGGCTCCCTAAAGTGCCCTGCTGGGGACACAGGCAGAGGGGCTTCCTGAGTCTCTGGCTGACTCCTCCCCAAGACACTTTAGGACACGCACCACGCACGAAAGAGGGCCCATGACATGGGAAGGAGGAAACTCACTGTCCACCAACACTGGCTGTCAATCAAAGTGGCCGTTGTTATTATTATTTCAATCATAATAGCAAGCGCTACTGTTAGCTGTCTACTTTGCTAAATGCTTTAAACACAGGTCATGTATCCTTACAAGCAAAGTTTGATGAGAAAGGTACTATCGCTGTTCCATTTGACAGATGATGATACTGAGGCCCAACAGTTCAGTACATCCAAGGCCATTTACCTAGGAAATGGCAGAGTCAGCATTCCAGCTTGGATTGCTATGACTTTGACCTTCCTGCTCTTGACCAGCGGCCCATCAGCTCCAGCCCATCAGGGTCATCATGCTGACATGATGCCTCTTGTGGTCTGTCACCTACAGGAGACTCTGGAGGACACACATGACGAGCTGGGCTGGGGACAGGCTAGAGTGAGAGGCCACTGGAAGTCATGGATTGCCCTGCACTTGCCAACTCTCTCACTTCTCACGCCAGTGGGGGTGATTCTGGCAGCCTGAGGCCTGGAACGAGGTCTCCTCCGAAACGGCTTCGGGCCAGGAAAATAAACAGCCTCTCTCCACACACTCCCAGCATGCTCTAGGAGGTCAGGGCCCAGGGCCTGGGCCAGAGACCAGCACCCATGGCCATCGTCACAGGCCCTGGCTAGGCAGCCCCTTCTCCTTCTCCACCACCGCCGAACTTCTCCCCGACCACTCCCACCCTGCCCGGGAGGCTGCCGGGAGAGATGCCTGGCCAGCACCACCCCACCCAAGCACCTCCCAGCCCCTCAGCCTCCTTTGAAACAGAACCAGAAGTGACAGCTCCTCTGGCTGACCCGCATCTGGGAAAATAGAAACCTGGACAAAATCGATTCCGCCCAACCTCAACCTCACCCCCAACAAAGCCGAGGTAACCGTGACGACAGGCAGAGGGAAGGAACTGGAGGAAGTGGCAGGCAACGCAATCTCCCCTCAGCCAAGAGGGTTTGCCCACAAACTGCTAAGGTGATGTGTGCAACCTGAGCACCCGGGCTCTTGGGCCTCCAGCCCTTCCCCCAAGCGCCCTGGGTTCTGGCAGAGCTGCTGCTTCTTAAGAGACACAACCCCTGCCTCCAAGACCCTGCACTCCCATGCAGGGCCTTATCCTCCCTAAAGCTGGGGGCGCTCAGAAGCTGCTCTAGCAGCAGAAGCAAAGAGGCTCTGCTCAACGCTGGAGGTTTCAGAGATCAACCGGGCCTGTCCGATGCCCAGAAAGAGGGCTGCTCCACCCACTCCTCCAGCCACATCAACCCCCTCCTGCCACCACGCTCTGCTCCAAACATCTCACCCTTCTCCAAGGCAGCCAGGCCCTCCTGAGAGGACATTTCTTTCCCACTTGGAGGACTCATACTCAACCTTCAAGAGCAAACGTCGCCTCCTCTGGGAAGGCTCTGTGGACCCCAGGGGAGAACTAACGGCTTTTTCTGTGCTGCTGCAGCACTGTGTGCACCCCACTGGGGAGTCTCTGTCACATCCCACGCTTGTCTCTGTTGATGCGGGTGCCTGCCTTCCCTGCCGGGGACCTGAGCATCCCTGGCACCTGGCACTTAGCAAGAGCTCGGCGAATGTGAGTCAAATGAATGAGCGCAAAGGGGATTCTGGAGAAAGATGGGGCAGGCTTGGATTCTACAATTATAAAAATGATTTATTGCCTATTTTTGTATCTGCGTAGCCTTTCCCCCAGGGCTCAGAAGGAGACTTCTCTGCTGGAATGGCCTCTTCTATCTGCAGGAGGCCAGCAAAGCTTGGGGACGGGGTCCTGTCTTCCCAGAAGCACACTGGCCGGAGGCAGAGCCCAGATTCGGGGCACGGACCCCTGATGGCGGCGGCAGGTCTGCACAAACCCTCTGCAGGCCCTGAGAGTATCCAGGCTGTGCACCGAAGTCTAAAGCCTCCAGTTCCACAGCCGCCACCAGTTCCCAAGCCCACTCCCAGCCTTCCCTGCATCCATGCCCACCTTGAATGACATTTCCCAGGAAGGCGAGAAAGGTCCCGAAAGCCTCATCACCACACAGCGCTGGCTCCCCACCCCCCAAACGCTCCTGCTGCAATTTAAGAACCATCTTAAAGACGCAGAACAAACAGCTGCTGAGGACCCACCAGAAATGTGGGGTGGGGCAGCACCCACCAGCCTCCTCCATCCCCACGGGCTAGCTCTGGCCTGGGCCTGCAGGATACACAGCCCCCAGCTGGGACCATATGGAGGCCCCCCCCACCCTCAAGCCTCCTCCCAGCCATCTTTCACCCCCAGACGCAGGCTGTGTCCTGCCTCCTTGAGCTCCTTGGGTGAAAGCATTTGGCCACAGGGGGGTCCAAGCCAGTGCAGGCTGTTTTCAGACATCTAAAAATGAAATTCCAAAATGGGAGGTGGCATTTTTTCCCTGCAGATACAGCTGGAAGAGCCAGGGTGTTTGAGGAGGATGCAACTTGACACCCAGTGTATTTAAAGAACCAAAAGATGGGGTCAGGGGTGGATGGGAGCGTATCCTCTCCTGTTCTCAGACTCACTGCTGGCTCTGTCTTTCCCAAATCCCCGGAAAGGCCCGGGGCAGAGTGGTCTGCATTCTGGCAGTGAGGGGTGCCCCGGGCCATGCTTCATGTTGAAGGGACTTGGGGACCCATGCCAAGAGAGCCCTCCTGCTGAGCTGCCCTGCCCCTGGGAGCCTGTTCTCAAGCCCCTGCTGAGGGCTAGGGGACCCCAGTCCCTGGCCACAGCCGACTGGGCAAAGTGTGAATGGCTGATATGTATTTACCTCCTGGAAATTGAAAATTGGACAGCTGGGCTGGGGAGCAACCAACTTCAGCTATGTGGCCAGAGGAGCAGAAAGATCAGGCTGCTGGAGACAAGTAGAGACCACAGACTGTGTGACAAGACAGGCAATATCACTGAGGTATAGGAGGGAGTCACAGAGGCAAAGAGAGGGACTGGGTGACAGAGAGAAAAACAGCGCCTGAACCAGGGGGAGGCAAGACAGGTACTGAAGGAGACACATTTAAGGAGGCGCTCACTATGGGGCTCACGCAAGGGCAGGGTCAGCCCCCAGGAGTGAGTGCCTCCTTAAATGCCGGGCCCTGGGTATCTTAACTTGCCTCACACAAGCTACAGACTGAGCAAGGTCAAGACGGAGAGAGAAAGGAAAGGGAGAACAAAGAGACAAAGAGAAAGGGAAAGAGAGGCAGACCCCAGAGACACACAAGAACACAGGCCAGCAGTACAAACAGGCAGAGTGGACGGACAGAAAGCACACACAGAGAAGGAAGCTATCTTGACCCTGTCCTCCCATCTCCGCCCCTGGGGAGGCCTGACTACACTTCCTGTCCTTGGGGGCCTTGACCACACATGCCCTTGAGTCTGTGCTGAAACCTTCTCTGGCCTGGGGGGAGTTTGAGAAGGTTTCTGCCCCTTGTCACTGAAAGACGCCCAGGACACCAGGTCCCACCCTTGTGAAGTCACATGACGCCGGGTGAAAATGGAAGTGTAGACGGTGGTCCTCAGGGGTCCAGGGGAGAATCGCTGCCAGCCAGGATCCTAGAACAGTTAGGAAAGTGGCAGAGCCTGGGCGCAGAAGGGCCCTGGAGCACGCGGAGGCAGGTGCCCTCAGCAGGGATCAGATACCCTGGATTGGGAGCGCAGAGGGTTAAACGGCCTCGGTCAAGCAGCCAGGACGGTCTCACCCTGCCACTTTCACTGGGAAGGAAGCTGAGGCTATCGGGGCTGCCTGGCAGGTCAGGGCCAGCCCGAGGCTCCTCCAAAAGCAGGTGGGCTGTGCAGGCCCCCACACGTGGTAACAGCCACCCCCCACCCTTTCAGTTCCATCCTGGCCTCAGGACTGAACCCTGAGGGCGATGACCATTGTTTTTCCCTCTCTGGGTTGTTGAAAATAAAAAACGATTTGCTGCACAAGTCACACTGAATGTGTAGCATTAAAGCTGGGTGGCTTCAAGAAGGGGCCCCACTCAAGCCCTTGGCCCCTGCCTGACCCTCGCCAGCCGCCCAGTTCCTCAGGCCTGGTCTGCAGACCGTTTGGCTTTCATACGATGGTGACAGTTGCCCAGTTGTGATTGTGAATTCTGACATTTTATAGCCTTTCCAAAAATGTATCTTGTGGGACCCACATGCAGGTAAGATGAGAAAAAGCAATGATACTGTTTAACCCGAGGCACTGAAAATACAGAAACTGTCAAGCGGACGAAGCAATAGAGAAGAGAGCGGTAAGGCAGGGGACGAGCAGAAATTGCTGGGGTGGGG